GACACAGAGATACTAGAAAAAAAGAAACGGGAACTGCGGAAGACTGATCTCACCCCTGAAGACAGCGTCTAGAAACAGCAGTAGGGATCTTTCAAGTCTGCACTAGGGCTGAATGTATATCATGGAGAACCAATCAATTTTTTTATATAAAATGTGAAATATTTTTACTTTTTTATCAGCATGTAAATATCTTTAGTGGATGGGCTGAGTCTTCAGAATGCTGCGTTCTTCCATATGTTGTACTTTCACACCTTTTGTAAGTTGTGGTTTTTGGGGGGGGGGGTTTCTTCTTTCCCAGTGGAACCTACCGTTGCTTTCCTCAGAGAGGTGTAATGCTGAACTCCCTTTAACATTAGTTTTACATTTTTTATGGACAGATTGCTAGTCAGTTTGACTTCACCCTACCATACTTGAAATGTACTTTAGAACAGTCTAAGAGAATACATGGTAAATACTTTGTAAGGCTTTTGACATAATTATGTAACTTGTATTTGATTTTTTTTTTTTCTGGATTAGCCTTTCAGAATATCTTTGGAAACAAAGGTCATCTCTCAGAGGAACCTGTGGTGATAGAAATGCAGTGTTACAAAATTTAATATAGCCAAGTATTCTTTGGTAGTTTCTTGACTGCTAAATATACCGGGTTTCCGGTATTAAAATGATCAGAGGCTGATTGACTTTGCTCTACTTTTTAAAACTCGGGGGGGAAATAAGAATGCCACGCATTAAAGAGAGCTTCTGTGCTTTGGGTTTCTTTAAGAAGCCAACTTTGAGCTTTTGTGTAAGAGAAGGATTTCCAACACACTAGCATTATTTTGTAATACAACCTGCTCCGTCTCATTTAGAAAGATGAAGGAGTAACTCAATGTGAAGGAATAACTCAATGTGTCCTTGTTTAGCATATTGTGGGTTAATGGAAAGAAACACTTTCTAGGCACACATTGGGTATTTTTATGTCTAACAAATTCAGAAATCAAATCTGCATGAGGTTGTGCCAGCATTAGAGGCAGTTCACATCATGGTATCATAAATTCTTTAGTGTGTGGCAAATAGATTACTGTTGGCTGGCCTACAGTGAAGCTGGCAGACATCCATATTCATTGACAGGATGCTTGTTAATTTGGGATGAGCCAGTCAAAAGATTAGCTATGTATATTCTAGTGATGGTGAGAATCTCTGATCAGGGTGTGGTGTACAGTCTGAACTGATGCATAGTTTGATCCTTGTGAGAAAATGGAATGTAAAATGGAATATTGATTGTGTGTGTGTGTATATGTATTATACTCATCTGAATCATTTTTCAAATGACACTAACTGTACTATATTTTGGGAGTCTATCCTCATTATATAGTATAGTGACCTATTTAATAGGTGTATTAAGAATATGAATGTAACAAATGAATGTAAGGATATCATACTAAAATATTACAACTTTTTTTGAAAAAGGGGGTAATGCAGTTTCTATAAACTTTGTCATGGTGTAAAACCTTTAATTACAAACCAGTTGTATAAACATACCTTCAACCTTGCAAAGATCTTGAAAGCTGCTTTTGGCAGACATTAATTACAGATGGAGATTTGAGACTTGGTGCTTTCTTCTTACAATATGCAAACTTCTTATTCAGAAGTGAGATGTAAAAAACCCTAATATAGTCACTGTTACCAGAGAAAATGGGCTACACCAGATGTAGATTTCTTAAAGTTGGAGGGAAGGCTTCTATCACAATGTGATCTTCATTTCCTCTTCTGAAATAAATCATAACCACACATGCACTTTTTATCACTGTTGCCATATTTATAGGACTTCTAAACAATGCTACAATAACTAAAATTCTCGTGTTCTTGAATTACAATCTGAGGAGATGTAACCTCAACAATTCTTATGCCTTATTTTGATGCCTTATTTATATATATCACGCTCTTTCCCCTGTTCATTTTTCCTCTCTCCTTGTCTAATCACATCTTGCAGTAAGATTTTTTTTAAAGTACAAACTAGTACTAATGTCCAGTCTAACTGCACTTTAACCAAGAGTGGATTGTCCTAAAGTAGTGTGTAATGTTGGAGTTTCTTATTTTAATGTGCCTAAGACAATTTAGCCTTGAAAATAATTAAAAACAAAATGGAAACATGATTACATTCAAGAAATCAAAGGCTAGATCGGTTTTTTACTACTATTTTTTTTGGGGGGGGAAGGGTTATGAGTATGTTAAGGCTGAATTCTGTTCCCGGACCCACATTTGGCTGTTACAGACTTCAGTGAGTGCTGCACATATGTATCCAAAGGGTTAATTGTGTCAGTAGATTTCATTGTGATAACACATTTTTCACTCATGTAGAAAGCACATAGACCACTTCTGTACAATACAGATAAATCTGAAGACCACACTTTAACTTCCATGCTAAGATAGTATATTACATTTAACAGTATACATTCAGTATTCATTTTCTTTTGTGTAGCGTATTTACCTTTCTGTGCTATTCTGTGTGACTTCAGTTTCTTAAAACTAATAAACTGGTACCTGATGAGATATGAACTCTACAACACTTATTAAAATTAAATTCATGTGTGTCAAATACAGCTGATTGTGCTCAGTAAACAAATTTCTAGGAGCATGTTGTATTGTCCGAAGGTTCCAGCTATGAGTATATCCAATACCATTAAATGTATTTGATACAGTATTTGAGATTAAATATTTTGTTGATATTGTAAGATAAATTGGGTGAATGTCAGAAAGTAGTGACCTCTACTGCAATTTTTAATAAAGCAGAATAACCAAAAATCCTGAATTTTAATGAGCTTATTCATTATAGGTGGGTACAGTTGCAAGCTATCTTGTATTAATAAGTGCACCTTTTGTGAGAATTGAAATATAGCCCTTCCACTATTCTTTCAGAAAAATGATTTCTTTTGAAGTTCCTGAGGACAGGACAAGAATCAATGGGTTTAAATTGCAGCAAGGGAGGTTTAGGTTGGACATTAGGAAAAACTCCCTTAGGGTATGTCTACACTACCCCCCCTAGTCCGAACTAGGGGGGGTAATGTAGTCATACGGAGTTGCAAATGAAGCCCGGGATTTGAATTTCCCGGGCTTCATTTGCATAAAGCCGGACGGATTAGGCTTCCTAATCCGAACTAGCTAGTCCATGCCGCGTGTAGCCGTGCGGCACGGGGTCCGAACTAGCCGGCATTTAAAAATGGCGCCGTCCGGCTTTATGCAAATGAAGTCCAGGAATTTAACTACTAAAGCGTATATCAACAGAAGACCATTATATTGACTCCTTTTTTTGTTTTGGCTTCACAATTTTAACAAATCAAACAAAAACTGCCACTACAGCACTGGAGTTTACTGAGGTATAAGTACAATCAATGTGAAGATTGTATCTGCAAACTTTTCACCAGCTATTTCAGATCAGGCTCAGATCAGGCTTGTATTCTGTTGTAGCAGCCGGGAGACAGTTAGTCACATGCCCACAAGGCTAAGCAGCCAGCACCTCTGCCCTGGGAGCTAGAAACACTGACACCCTGTATCCGCCTGTTCTGGCCAGCCCATCTGCTTGTGTCTTTCAATGCTTGACACGTTGTGGAGGCCATGTTCAAAGGATCCCATCCCTGGGCCGCCTGTTGAGCCCCACGCAGGGCCGGATGGAGGCAGGGGCGAGCTGGGCAGCTGCCCAGAGCACCAACCCACAGGGGGCGCCTGATGGCAGCTGTAAGGGGTGCGCGGCGTCCCTTACAGCTGCCATCAGGAGCTGTGCGCCTGGCTCCTGCAGTGCCCTTGCCCCCCCGGCTGTGGGGCCCTGCATGACCTGGCACTTGCACCAGCAGCCCAGGCCGGGCTGGGCAGCGTATGCGCTGTGCGTCCCGGGGGTGGGCCCCGGGCTGCATGCCAGCGACCGTGATCGGCCTGCGCATGTGCCGAGCATCCCAGGGGCGCCCGGGCTTTGCGCCAGTGGCTGTGGCTGGCGCGTGTGTGTGCCCTGCACCCCAGAGGCATGCCCATGCACACTGGAGGGGTGGGCCTGCGTATGCACCCTGCGCCCGGGGGCGGTGCCGCATGCCTGGATCGGCTGGCAATGCTCCTAATGCAACTTAATATGCCATTAGCCTTCTTGGCTACAAGGGCACACAGTTGACTCATCCAGCTTCTCATCCACTGTAATCCCCAGGTCCTTTTCTGCAGAACTACTACTTAGCCATTTGGGCCCCAGCCTGTAACAGTGCACTTGTCCTTGTTGAACCTCAAACCCAAACCACATGGCGGCCGCAAACAAACAGGCTGCAGGCCATGTGTTGAGTAGCCCTAGACTCTAGGGGAAGGTGCCTGTGGCTTTTGGACAGCTCCTGGAGCCCCTGCACCCATCCTCATTCTCTTGGGCTTCTGGCCCTAACCCTAAAGTTCCAAGTGTTCCCAACAACCTAAAGATATTTTATTTCATCTGATGTGTTTTTGCAGAGAGGGGGGATTAACTGCTACAAGTTTTAAGAAAAAGGAGGTGGGTGGTTTTTTTAATCCTTCCCCCCAAAAATCCAACCTCTGGCATGTGTGGCCCTGAGCCAATTTATGATCTGCAGAAGCCGAACTCAAAGGGGAAATTGCAACAGTGCCTCTTAGCTTGTGGGGATCAGCAGGTGAAACATTACCTGGGAGCAAACAGCCCCCCAAAACCGCCTGGCCACTCAGCCGGGAACTGGATGAAGTGCATCCGCCCAGCGATATGGAAACTCTAGTAAAACTAATCTCCTAGAAGTAAGGAAAACATCTGCCGAAACCCGGGATCGAACCAGGGACCTTTAGATCTTCAGTCTAACGCTCTCCCAACTGAGCTATTTCGGCTGCTTGTTCTGTGTGCTTGTTCTGCCTTGCCCTGAAATTGAAGATTGATTCTCGTTGGCTTCAGATCATGGGGTTTTGGCTAGAGGGCTCTGGTGTCCGTGCAGCTCATTGCCCGTGTACACAAGGCGGCACGTCCTCCCTGTTACCCCCAGCCATCAGCCTAGCTGTACCAAACACAGGAAGACACTGGCCAGGCCCCCAAGGACCTTAGCCCGGGGAAGCCATGCAGGGCAGGGATGCCTCTGTCCCCGCAGAAAAACGTCAGTGGAATTGACGTGATTACAGATTAATTGAACTGGAGCAACTCCTGTCCTGAAACACGTCAGTGACACCGGCCTCCAGGGTGGGTGGAGAGCGGGTGAGCCTGTCTGCTTGGCTTCGGCAGACCCCTCGGTATTAGCTGCATGGCCCTGCCAGAGGTAATTGAACTGGAGCAACTCCTGTCCTGAAACACGTCAGTGACACCGGCCTCCAGGGTGGGTGGAGAGCGGGTGAGCCTGTCTGCTTGGCTTCGGCAGACCCCTCGGTATTAGCTGCATGGCCCTGCCAGAGGCAAGCTCTCTGAGTCGGGGGGGGG